TCAGGGGCATCTCCAGGTGCTCCAGAGATCTCCAGATGCCCCAAAGATCTCCAGGAGCATCTCCAGGTCCTCCAGAGATCCCCAAGAGGATCTTCAGAGATCCCCAAGAGGATCTCCAGGTCCTCCAGAGATCCCCCAGAGGATCTTCAGGGATCCCCAAGAGGATCTCCAGGTGCTCCAGAGATCCCCCAGAGGATCTCCAGGGATTCCCAAGAGGATCTCCAGGTGCTCCAGAGGGACCTTCAGGTGCTCCAGAGCTCTCCAGATGCTCCAGAGCTCCCCGAGGAGATCTCCAGATGCTCCAGAGATCTCCAATCTTTATTCCCCAGCATTCTGGTGGCTCTCCAGCATGAAATGGGACCCTTCACCACCCCAAGTGACCTCCCCATCCATCCCTGCCTCCCCCAGCAGCAGGAGTGAGACCTGGAAAGACTCACGGAGAGGTGTGGGAAGAGAGATCCATGGAGAGAGGAGATCCAGTGGCACAAGGCCAGCGCCTGGCTCGAGCCTGTCCTCAGCCACTGCAGCCCTGGAGGGACAAAGCACCATCAGCTGCTTCTGCTCACACCTTGGGCAGGTTGGAACGATGGGAACAGAGGGATCAAGTAGATCACAGAGGGATCAAGTGGGTCAGGACAATCCCAGGAAAACCCACAGGCTGGACAGGGATGGAGAGCAGCTCAAGAAGGACTTGGGAGTGATGTTGATGACCAACTCAACGGCCCAAAATCCAACTCAATCCATGGAGGGAAAAGATTCCTCCCACTCTGCTCCACCTGAAGTGCTGGGACAGTTGTGATGTCCCAACATGGAACTGTTGGAGCAAATCCAGAGGAGACCACGAGACTGAGAGAGGATTGGAGAACCTTCCCCAGGAGAGAGTTGGGGCTGGAGAGGAGAAGTTTGTGTGGAGACCTCCAAGGAGCTGCAGGAGCTCCAGGGAAGCTGCAGAGGGACTTGGGGAGGAGCTGCAGGGACAGGACGAGGAGGAATGGGGAGAAATGGAGAGAGGGAAAGTTAGGGGAGATCTTAGGGAGAAGTTTTTCCCTGGGAGGGTGGTGAGACACTGGCACAGGTTGTGGATGCTCCAACCCTGTCAGTGTCCATTCCAGGTTGGACAAACCCTTGCCCAACCTGCCCTGGTGGGAGATTTCCCTGCCCAGGGCAGAGGGTTGGCACTGGATGATCCCTAAGCTCCATCCCAACCTCTTAGCATTCCATGATTCTATGACCACTGCAAGATCCAGAGCTCCAGGAGGATCTCTAGAGCTCCAGGGGCATCTCCAGGTGCTCCAGAGCTCCCCAGGGGGATCTCCAGGTGCTCCAGGAGGACCTAGAGAGCTCCAGGGGCATCT